ATTGTAAGATTGATTGTTGTTTTAATTGTTATTTTGATTTTGAAATCAGAAATTCGGATGATTTGTTGATTTATTGTTACATAATCTATTGTATGCCCAGATGGGATTTTTGGAAATTATGATTTTTAAGTTAGGTAAATATCAAAGTTCCGATCACCCCCGGCATCGACTTAGACTGACGGTGGTCTTGGCCTGTGAGTATTCTAGGTAATCGACCACCGCCAACTACAAGTTCATTGAAAATCATTCGAATCTGTCAGTTTCATCTCTCCGCTGATCTGATACTATGGGGTTTTGCCATTTTGTTCTTCATTCTTGATTGTTTACTTGTGTATTCATTTGTTTCTTGAGATTTGGGATTTGCAATGGCCTGATGCATATATATGACTAGGGCTGAATTTATATATATATTTTTAATACTCATTCTGCCATGCTTTATTCTTTTAAGAATATATAATGTCTTCTTATAATGAATTTGATGAATGTGCCATGAATGGGATTTGGGAATCTGTTGTGTATATATATTTTTGGTTTTCTCTCTTGATGCATTACTGAAGCGTTATTGCTAATTTTTTAAATGACTAAGTTTTTTAATGATGAACCAGTCTATCGATTCAATTGATTATTTTATAGGTGTTTTTACTTCGATGGTCAATGTCATATATATGTAGGTAATACTTTGATTGGAGCTGGATTAAAAATGATGGATCATAAAGGACATTTTGTATTGCATTGATAATCTATATAATAAAACAAAACTGTTTTTGAAAATGTATCAAAATGTATCAGAGATACATTTTGATCAAATGGTTGAGATGATTCCTATATACTACCAACGGTTGAGATCACTTTTATTCCCGCCTAAACACTCTCTGCTCTCTTCCTCTCTCCCACGTCTTCCTAAACACCTTCTCTTCAACTCTCTCTCTACACGTTATCTCTCACATCCTCTCTTCAACTCCCTCTATGATCTCTCTCTCATGTTCGAAATTCTTTCTTTTCTGAAACTAGCTAACAGAGGTAGCAGATCAGAGAAACATCTTCCAACAATTTGATTCAAATAGAGACGGTGGTCTCAACAGGGCTCACCACCACTGCCGCTGCTCATCATCACTATCGCCATTGATTGACACCCACTCTCTCTCGGCTCCCACCCTCCCAACATCAGAGGTATTTTACATTTATTCAGTTCTTTGAGGCTTCGATTTTAGGGCTAATTTTTGTATCAATCAGAGTTGATGGCTTCGGTTTTAGGGCTAATTTTTGTATCAATCAGAGTTGAGGCTTCGGTTTTAGGCTTCGGTTTCGGCTTTAGAGATTACAATAGAGTTGGAATCTAGGGTTCGCTGACTTCTTTTTATTTTTTTTTCAAGTACATTAGTTAGATATGAGAAACAGAATGACAATGGAGTGAAGAAAAGTGCTGATACTGCCATGGCCACAACATGTTTGATAGTTTGCCTATGAGAAACTTCTAAGTTGCTTCTTCTCAGTTGTCAAAATAGCACACACTCCTAAGAAATGCTTCGGTTTGAATATGAGATTGCCTTCTTCCAAATCCTCTGTCATTTCTAAGTACTCTGCTGCACATCTTAGGTCCGAGATGTTTGTTGCTGTGAGATTGACGACAATTCCATAGCAGAATTTTGCTGCTAGCTTAAATGCCTCGGGTCCACCGGGAAGATCATCAAAAACAATTTTTTCCAAATCCGAGTCTCGCGTTTTGTATATGATTGTGTTCATCTTCCCATTCCTAGAAAGTAGTGGATACTTCATAGAGACATTTATATTAATACACATTATTGCTAATAAAACCTTCAATCCAAAAGCTTAGAGTTGGAGAGATTTTTTCATTTTTTTCACTATACTGGTTTTTATTTTAGTTATTTATTTTTTAAGAAAACATATTTTGAAAATGAAACCAAACAGTAACAGAGTGCAAAGTGTCTCTGAGCTAAGAAATAACTACCTTATGTAAGTGGAAAGTGGAATCTCCAATTTGAATCAAGAAGTCACTTGGGATGTCAGTTGAAACATACCTATTCAATGTGAGAAATCACAAGATTATTATTCATAAGCTCATCTTCCTAAAATTAAAAAATAAATAAAAATATAGTAACTAACTATTTTCATGCAATAAAATTAATCATCTTTTGTTTGCAATTTTTTTTAAGTTTTCCAAGATTGGCCTCTTTGCTCAAACCCATCAGTCTTGACACTAAGCTTGCTGGGATTGAGCACTCCATTGTTGCAGTCTCTTCCTCCAACTAACTCACTCTCTGAATCCCACATGATGAACAAAAAAAACCCAAAAAATCTGAACAGTTTGGGAAGCCCAATTCGGATTTACTTTTCCTTATTTTCTAGCATGATCTCCAGTTTTAATTTATTGTGTATTTTTTTGTCCTTCTCTTCACCCAAAAGAATTTACCCTGATATTGCATCTGAATATGGAAGCATTTGAATATTTGCAAAAGGTTAGCTATGCATGCTTATTATTTTGTTCAAATTGTTTTTGTTGTTCTTTTTTATTTTATTTCTATATTTTCTTTTCTTTTCTTTTCTTTTTAAAGTTACTGGAAGCAATTTGGAGGCTGAACAATTCATCTGATATCTTTTCAAATGGTGGCCTCAGAATTAGATTTCCTTCTACTCTTTTGCTCTATTGCTATGATAAATTTTTGACCTTAAAGTCGCTTCACCGTTCTACTTTAAAATGTGAGGTTTAGCTTCATTTTGCTGATCTGTGGATATATATATGTCTATCTAAAGAATTTTGGAATGCCTGGTGCATTGATATTAGGGAACTTACTAAATGCAAATTCGTAAAATTATAATCATATAACTATAATTGTTTGTTGACTAACTTCAAATTCCACAGGAAATGGTCACATTGGCCACTGCAACCAAGGAAACAACATGTACCTTTTTCCTGGGTTAGTTTCAAATTTTCACTCTTTGCAAGAACTATGGGTTCAATATTTTTTTCTCTTTTTCTCCATATACCAATTTTCCACATACCTGATCACGCAGGATTGGACTTGGTACCCTTCTATCTGGCTCTAGGATCATCTCTGACGGCATGTTACAGGCAGCAGCTGAGTGGTACTTCTTCATTCTACTTTTCCAAATAAAATTCTTGATTGTGTTGATACTGATGTTATTTAGACTTTTCCCATTGTTATTTTTAACAGAGGGACAACATTGAAACTTCTTAATATATTGAACGTTGAAAATTCTTAATATATTGAAAGTCAAGTTACTTATGTGTTTGTTTGATTTGGAAAACAAGAAGAATTATATTAAAATTGGAAAATTATTGGTGAAATTGATATTGATGATATTTACACTTACTAACAGAGTATGTACACCCACCTTCCATTGTTGTTTGGGATGTCCCAAAATAGTTAACCATCTTGAAGAGTCAAGAAACTAATACTGTTACCTTCATTTTGTTAAGTTTGAATGCATTTAATAGATGGACAACTTTGAAAATTCTTACTATACTGTTAAAGTGTAAACATATTAACTCATTTGTTTTAAATTGGGATATGTACGAAATTAGATGCATTCTTTATTTGTTTATTTATTTTTAAATTGATGAGGGGCTGGTATTGTGATTTATGGGTGGAAAATTGAATTTAGGAAGGTGAGTAATCATTTAGTTTGTTGATCTGACATCACAGTAATTTATAATCTGCAAGATATCTGAGAAATTATTGAGAGGAGTTAGAATTCCATAAAGAAACTGATGGATTCGCAAAAATTCTAATTTATATCGCTTGGGAGAACAGGAAAGTAGGTACTTGCAATTTGTACATGTTTGAAATGATTTGGCAATTCTAGACATAAGAGAGAATTTTTTATGATGGAGATTAATTTAGCTGATTAAATCTCTTACCGTTGATTGGAAAATTAATACATTATTGAATTAAAATTGGCGTATTCTAAGCTAACATAAAAAATTCATGTATTTGTGTGCAATGAAAAACAAATAGTTGATGAATAACATAGAATGGATGAACATTCAAATTTGATGCATTGCATTTAAAAAATTGTCTCATATTCCTGTCACAGAAATCGAATTTTGCCATATAAAGAAAATTCATGTATTATGTAAAGCGTGAATTTGTGGTTGAAAAAACAATATTGTTCATTATTGATTTCTAATAGCGGTTAGGTTCTATAATTTTTTTTCACATATATGAGATATTGTTTTTTTTTTATTTATGATTTTTTTATTTGGGCAACAAGAAGAATTATGTTAAAATTGGGGAATTATTGATTGTATTGATATTGATGTTATTTAGACTCTTCCCATTGTTATTTTGATGTCCTAAAATGCTTAACAAAGCCAAGATAGTTAGGCTTGTGTGAATGCATTTAACAGAGGACAACGTTGAAACTTCTTAATATATTGAACTTTGAAACTTCTTAATATATTCAAAGTCAAGTTTGTATCAAAAAATGACACAAACTTTATAAATTTGAACATAATACGTATAAATTATAACTGCATTTTAATCTTAAAATTATTTATACCGTGTCTTTAGGCACGGGTATACGCTAGTATATATATATATATCAAAAGTTCAATAAAAAATGATATACAAAACTAGTTTTCAAACCTATTTTATAATATGTGTAAATGATAAAACTAGTTAATGATTAAAGAAAATATATGAGATTGTATTATTTATAATATTTTAATTGATTATTATATTACTTAAATTGAAAATTAAATATAAGTAATATTTTAATTGATTACTATGTCATTTAGATTGAAAATTAAATATAATTTTTATGATGGTATTATATACGTTAATTAATATATAAATTAATGTATCAATTAGTATTATATCATTATTACTGTTCTCACTTATTATATAAATTATAAATATTTAAAATTTTTAAAATATATTATATTATCAATTAATATATTAATTTATACATATATTATTATTCTAATTTTTTATGGTAAATGCAAGTTTAATAAGTCAAGCCCATACAGATAGAGAGAGAGAGACCGGTGAGGATATGGAGATCGCACCAAAGTCGATTTCAGAATCTCAGCTTATTGCTTTAAAATATAAAAAAAAAGTAATACAGATTTCTTCGAAAGAGAGAGAGATTTTCAAAGGTTGATTCTTATAGAGATATAGAGAGAGAAACAGAGACATGTCTGACATAGACCCATAATCATATATAATATGTGTATATAAAACCAATTGACCACCCAACACAGAAAGGCTCTCTGTTTCTCTTCCTTTATTTGCAGCCAATAATTTCTGGGGGGTAAAAAGGCAGATTTTGATCCGAGATATGGCCAGAAATGGTGTGTTTTCGAGGCGGAGGAGATCGGAGATGATCGAGGAAGTCTTCGATGATGATGATGATGTTCATGTTCTTGCTGTCGATGACAGTCTCATCGATCGAAAAGTCATCGAACGATTGCTCAAAATCTCCTCTTGTAAAGGTAATAAGCAAATTTGTATTTTTTTCGCATCCATTTGCATGCACACATCAAGTGTTTGATTAAATGTGTCAATGGGTTTGTTTTGTTTGTGTTTGTCAGTCACTGCAGTGGATAGTGGAAGGAGAGCTCTGCAATTTCTAGGATTGGATGATGAGGAAAGGAGCTCTGTTGGGTTTGATGTAAGTGAGATTAATTTATTGTTATACAAGTTAAAATTTAAGTTGATTGATTTACAATAAATTGATTTTTAGTTTTGTTGGGTTGGGTTGGGTTTTTTTTTTTCCAGGGTTTGAAGGTGGATCTGATAATCACAGACTATTGTATGCCTGGAATGACTGGTTATGAGTTGCTCAAAAAGATCAAGGTTAGTTTATTAAAAAAAAAATTCTTCATTTCATTTTTTTGAATATTCATTTTTCATTTATTTTGAAGCAAATAAAACAGAGATTTGAAAATGCTTAGCTGATTTTTTTTTTCTTTTTTTAATGTTTGGGCAGGAATCATCTACTTTCAGAGAAATCCCAGTTGTGATCATGTCATCCGAAAACATTTTGGCCCGAATTGACAGGTGCATACATATTATCATATATAATCATACTCATTTGTAAATTTATATTTGAAATTTTAAACTATTATGTATTATAATTTTAAAATTTTGATATTGATATTCACAAATACTGATTCATATACGTCGTACTAATTTAAATATGATTTGAATATGTTTTCGATACTGTTATTTAAATCATGATAATAAAAATTGTTTGAATGATAGGTGTTTGGAGGAAGGGGCAGAGGATTTTATAGTGAAACCTGTTAAATTATCGGACGTGAAACGTTTGAAAGATAACATGTTTGGAGAGGATCGAGTCGTGAGGGAAGATGGAAAAAACAAGAGAAAATCACCAGAGCCGTCTGATCTCTCCACATCACCATCACAACCGTCAATCACGGCCTCATCACAATCACCGTCACCATCGCCTCTTTCGTCATCACCATCATCCTTGCCACCACATTTATCAGAAGCGGCATCTCCCTTGCTATCGCTACATTTATTAGACTTGCCATTGCCATTGCCATTGCCATCGCCATCGCCATCGCCACATTTATCGGACACGGCATCTCCGCCTCCATTGCTATCGCTACATTTATTAGACACGCCATTACCATTGCCATTGCCATCTCCACATTTATCGAACACGACATCGTTGCTGTCACCGCAGTCGCCATGTTCTCCAACATCGCTAGTATCTCCAACAATGCGACTTAAATTGACAGAATTGTGATTAATATTTGGAAATTTAAGGTTATTTATTTTGAATTTGGTTACAATTTGCAATAGGGGCCAATAGACAAGCCAATTAAGCAAAGCAACTTTCTCTGAAATATGGATTTTTTGTTGCCTTGTCTTATGTTAGCTTCGTTTTATTTTTTTATTTTTTTCTTGGCCTTGTTTTTGTTTAATTGTACTCCTAATTACAAGAATTATAGTTTTAATGGTTGAGCTGGTTTATCATCTAAGTCCTTTGATTAGAGGTGCTTTCTTTCATGTTGTATCATAATTCAGTCTTCATTTTGTCATTTCTAGATATATCTATTAAAAAAAAATCAAGATTCAAAACTAAATATAAATATAAATAAAAAAGTTATAGTTGATTCTATTTTTTTAAATTATTTTAATCAGCAAGAGATTATCTATATATGAGGAGAATTATATCAAACTAGACAATATCATTAATACAAATCCATCAACCCATCAAGTAATGCTAACCACTAGCATAAGAAAAAGAGTTCATAATGGCAGGAAAAAAACTCACAATAACAAAGTTTTCATAATTGGAGAGAGAATAATAAATCTTTATATTTGGTAAGAATTGATCCCCTATCTAGTTAAGAGTGTATAGAAAAGTTGCTAACTGAACTAGTTTTAGAAACAATGTTATGGTGCCAAAAAATGAAAATGATATGTTTTGATCAGTCTAATAACGATACAATAACACTTCAATATCTAATTACGATATATTAACATTTCAATATCTGATTTGATGCAAGATATAATAAAAAATTAAGTAAGCAGAATCATAATGTATGTTAAGTAGATCTCATTTTTTAATCACATTGTTTGATAAAGATCGATCAATTTTAGTTAGTATAAAAAAAACTTGATTTTTTGAGAAATTCTCTCCTTTTTAAAATTTATTTATTTGATTTTACTTCTTGCTGATTAAGGATTAAATTTTCTCACTATTTGCATAGTGCTCCAAAACCTTGGTGTACTATAGAAAAACTAATGTTAGAATGATTATATTATCTTATCATAATTTATTTATTATTTTATATGTCAATAATTTAATAAGTCTCACTATTCATGTTAATTATCAATACACATAACAATAAAATAATAAATAAAACATAATAAAAAAATAATTATCATAATATTATTATTTATATAGTACTATTTTTTTTTCCAACTCCATATAAAAAGTGACAATGGGAAAAGGGTTTATTATTAAGGCCTCGTTTGGGAACAGGCTAATTTAGTAACTTTTTGACTATTTGGCTAAAAAGGTAAGTAAAAAAAACTTGTATGTTTGGAATGACTTTTTGGCTAATTACGAAAAGATGTGCAAAAAGTAGAGAGAAAAGAGAATCTTTGACTTTTTGGTATGGATTGTTGGCTTTTTGACTAATTTAGTAATTTTTTGACTAATTGACTAAAATAGCCTCTTGTCAAACGAGGCCTAAGAAGGATTTTTCTATCCAAAATCCGAAATAACTTGAATGAGGGTGGAAGAAGGATAAAAAATGATATGGTTGAGATACGATTTGTAGAAGATGCTCATTCTTGTCTGCTATCAAGGAATATTGCGTCTCTATTTTTTATTTTATTTTATTAGGCTGTCCAATATTGGATCTGGATATGAATTCGACATTGTTTGATTATTTTATTATATATGCCTTTTTTTTTCTTTTTTCTTTTTTTTTTGGGGGTGGGGTTTGGGTGGTCGTGAGGGCCCCTAGAGCTAAGATTGAGCTGTTCTCTCCTCTCCTCTTTGCCAATTGTCACTTTGGCAACGTGTTAAATGCTGCCCTCCGCTGACAGTAGGAATGGTTACGGGACGGGTCGGGGTTGGGGTCGGGATCATATTCCCCGTCTTCGATTTTCGATTGTAAAAATCTCTTTATTTTTGGTCTTGATCTGTGTCGGGAAACCTATCATCGTCCCCGTCCCCTAACGGGGATCGGAAAAAATTTCTCGGCCCAAATCATATTTCAACAACACCATCAACAACATCATCATCATCATCCCCAATCGTTTCATTTTTAACATCAACATCAACAAAATCATAAACAAATCCACTATCAAAAAAATAAAAAAAGGACGGATAGAGACACACACACATATATGTATACATAAATACACAAACAGATCTGAGATCTATGTATTTGTGACTACGGCCACGGCATCTCCGACTCACCATTGGCATCTTCGATCTGACCATCGGTATCTCCGACTCACCTCTAGAGATGTGATTCTACACAAGTTAGTTGCGCTGCTGGAGACGAAACGAAACTTCTCAGTGACGCTAAACGGACTCGCGATAGATGATAAAGAAAAAGGCAACGACGGGATGGTCGTGGCTTCTCTTGGACGCCACCGGCAAAGCCAAACTCAGATCTGGAAAACATAAAGGGGGAATGTGAGAGAGAATCTAGAGAAAGAGGCAATGGGTGGCTGTGATTGCGACGACGGATGAGGACAATCGGTGTCGCAGACAGTGGAGGTGGCGTTGAGGAGGAGGGAGAGAGGTGCGAGAGGGAAGAGAGAGAGGTGAAATGAGGGTTTGGTTTATATATAGAGGGGTAAAGTAGTAATTTCACGTCAAGGACAAACGGGTACGGGGCTGGGACACTTATTCCCGTCACTGGCCCAAAACGGATCGGCGATTGATTTTTGAATACCATCCCCGCCCCGTTGGAGATATTTTTTGAGGAAAAATCGCTCAAATCGGGGTCGAGTCCCCGTCGGACCGGGTTCAAATTGCCATCCATACCTGACAGTCCGGATCCAAATTTTTACCAAAATTCATAATTTAAATATAACCTAAAGTGATATTGGCATCCCCTAAATAACTCATCTTTTTATCTTTTTTTCATCATATCACCTCTTTACTTTTCTGCATATTTTTTTGTAAAAAGTCGAAAAGTACATTTATTTAGATCATTCCAAACAATCCTTTAACGTTAAAAATCATAAAGTAATTCATTGTACTTAATATTAAGGAATTGTTTGGGATGATCTAAATAAATGTACTTTTTGACTTTTTATGAAATATAAGTTGGGTTTGAAGTGATGTGTTCTAGAAGTGATGTGACTTAAATAGGATAGTAATTTTTTTACTTTTTTTTAAACATGCTAAACCAAGCCTAAATGTCAGCGAGACAACACATTAGTTTAAGATCACACAAGGAAAGATCTATCAATGCCCGGAGTAATTTAAAAAGGTATTTTCAAATTTAAAGCAACTTAGCCTTCTCGTCCTCGATGATCTATTCTTGAATTTGTCATTATTTTGTTGAATTAAGATATAATTTAGTTCTTTATTTTTGGTGTGCAAACTATATTATCACATATCTATCTTTTTATATTATATTATATAACTAAAAGGAGATTTCTAATGAGGAGGCTATGAGAGTTTCAAAGTTCCATCTTAAAAATATTGAATTTTTAGTTTACTAAATAGATTACAAAAAAAGTTTATTGGCCAATTTATTTAATTAGTTATTTAAATAAAAAGGTAAGTAAAAAAAACTTGTATGTTTGGAATGACTTTTTGGCTAATTACGAAAAGATGTGCAAAAAGTAGAGAGAAAAGAGAATCTTTGACTTTTTGGTATGGATTGTTGGCTTTTTGACTAATTTAGTAATTTTTTGACTAATTGACTAAAATAGCCTCTTGTCAAACGAGGCCTAAGAAGGATTTTTCTATCCAAAATCCGAAATAACTTGAATGAGGGTGGAAGAAGGATAAAAAATGATATGGTTGAGATACGATTTGTAGAAGATGCTCATTCTTGTCTGCTATCAAGGAATATTGCGTCTCTATTTTTTATTTTATTTTATTAGGCTGTCCAATATTGGATCTGGATATGAATTCGACATTGTTTGATTATTTTATTATATAAGCTTTTTTTTCTTTTTTCTTTTTTTTTTGGGGGGTGGGGTTTTGGTGGTCGTGAGGGCCCCTAGAGCTAAGATTGAGCTGTTCTCTCCTCTCCTCTCTGCCAATTGTCACTTTGGCAACGTGTTAAATGCTGCCCTCCCCTGACAGTAGGAATGGTTACGGGACAGGTCGGGGTCGGGTCAGGATCATATACTCCGTCTTTGATTGTGAAAATCTTCTTATTTTTGGTCTTGATCTGTGTCGGGAAACTTATCATTGTCCACGCCCTCTAACGGGGATCGGGGAAAATTTCCCGGCCCAAATCATATTTCAACAACACCATCAACAACATCATCATCATCATTCCCAATTGTTTCATTTTTAACATCAACATCAACAAAATCATAAACAAATCCACTATCAAAAAAAAAAGAACGGATAGACACACACATATATGTATACATAAATACACAAACAGATCTGAGATCTATGTATTTGCGACTACGGCGACGGCATCTCCGACTCACCATTGGCATCTCCGATCTGACCATCGGTATCTCCGACTCACCTCTAGAGATGTGATTCTACACAGTTGCGCTGCTGGAGACGAAACGAAACTTCTCAATGACGCTAAACGGATTCGCGATCGATGATAAAGAAAAAGGCAACGACGGTATGGTCGTGGTTTCTCTTGGACGCCACCGGCAAAGCCAAACTCAGATTTGGAAAACATAAAGGGGGAATGAGAGAGAGAATCTGGAGAAAGAGGTAATGGGTGGCTGTGATTGCGACGACGGAGGAGGACAATCGGTGTCGCAGACAGTGGAAGTGGCGCTGAGGAGGAGGGAGAGAGGTGCGAGAGGGAAGAGAGAGAGGTGAAATGAGGGTTTGGTTTATATATAGAGGGGTAAAGTAGTCATTTCATTTCAAGGACAAACGGGTACGGGGCTGGGACACTTATTCCCGTCACTGGCCCAAAATTGATCGGCGATTGATTTTTGAATACCATCCCCGCCCCGTTGGAGATATTTTTTGAGGAAAAATCGCTCAAATCGGGGTCGAGTCCCCATCGGACTGGGTTCAAATTGCCATCCATACCTGACAGTCTGGATCCAAATTTTTACCAAAATTCATACTCCCTCCGTCCCAAAATATTAGTCCATTTTTCATTGTCCCAAAATATTAGTCCCTCTTCAAAAATCAAGTACAAAAATAATATAAATTTCCTATTTTGCCCCTCTTTTAAATTAATAAACAATAAAGTACAATTATGACATTGATATTCTCAAAAAATGTACTATCAAAAGGATAATTTTGGAAAATCAACTTTTTTCAAATACAATAATTGTACTACCAAAAAAAGTTGAA